AGTGTTCCCATGTTCTGTTCAAACAACTGCCTCTTGGTTATGTACCGGTTCCTCATGAGCACAATTAAGTGTTCCAGAATTCTCACACTTCGCAATGTTGTCCATAGCTTGTCATTATTCATACAATCGAAAGCCTTTGTATACTCAATAAAGCACAGGTAAACATTTTTCTGGTATTCTCTGCTTTCAACCAAGATCCATCTGACGTCAGCAATGATATCCCTCATTCCACATCCTCTTTGGAAACCAGTTTGAACATCTGGAAGTTCTCTGTTAATGAATATTTGCATTTGAGTGGTATCTTTAAAAAGGGAATAACAGAAACAGAGACACACAAAAGGGGATGGCACTACATTTACAAAAATATCTATGAGTTGAGAAACATCAAGAAAAGTTTGGGATTACCAAAAACTGAGAGAAGGAAGGATATTCCTTCAAAACTCACAGAAAAAGACTATTGCCCTGCAGACCCGCAGAATTTAAACTAGTCTCTAAAACTGTGAGACAGGAAATTTGTTCTTCAAGGCCACCTACTTTGTGGTCTTTTGTTATGGCAGCCGTAGGAAACTTACCCGCCATTTATCTGTCACTTTGTCATACTGTGGTAGTTTGTGTGTTGCTTTGATACTGAAAGTTATAGCACTGGTACTTTAATATAAGCATGGTCACTCATGGTGGACAGACTAGGAAGAAGGAAAGACATGCTACTTCTGAATATTTAGCTACTGGAAACCTTATAAGTAGCAGTGGACATTGTCAGATATAGTGCTGAAGATGAACACATTATGAATAGTATCAGAACATTGTCAAATATAGTGCTGGAAGATAAGCCCCTCAAGTTGGAAGGTACTCAAAAATATGAACTGAGGAAGAGCTGACTCCTCAAAGTAGGGTTGACTATGATGACGTAAATGGATTAAAGCTTTTGGGACCTTCATTTGTTAATGGGGAACAATTCAAAATGAGGAAAAACAGCAAACATCCATTAATAAATAGAACATGTAATGTGCAAAGTATGAATTTTGGAGAATTGGAAGTTATAAAAAATGAAGTGGAACATATAAAGATTGATATCCCTGGCATTAGTGAGCTGAAATGTACTGGTACTAGTCATTTTGAATCTAACAATTATATGGCTTAATATGCCAGGAAAGAGGAAGATCCCCTAACGAGATGGACTGGCACAGTGGCAGCAGTAATGGGCTCAGGGGTAGCAGCGACTGTGAGATTGGCTCAGGACCAGGCAGTGTTTCTTTCTGTTTTGCACAGGGTAGCTATGAGTCGGCACCAACTCAATAGTAGTTAACAACAAGGCCAAGAAAACACATTCAAGAAGAATGGCATTATATTTACCTTCAAAAAGAACATTTCAAGATCTATCATGAAGTAACAACACTGTCTGTGGTAGGATAATGTCTATATACCTACAACGAAGTCCAGTTAATATTACTATTATTCAAACTTACATATCAACCAGTAAAGCCAGTGATAATGAAACTGAAGAATTCTACCAACTTCTTCAGTCTGAAACTGATCAAACATGCAGTCTCGATATATTAATAATTACTGGTGAATGGAATGTGAAGGTTAGAAACAAAAATGAAGGATTCTGTAATTGGAAATACAGTCTTGGTGACAGAAATGATGCTGGGGATCACATGAGAGAAGTGTGCAACACAACTTATTAATTGCAAATACCTTTTTAACAACAATATAAAAAGTGATTATACACATAGACCTCACCAGATGGAGTTCACAGGAATTAAGCTGAATGTATCTGTGAGAGAAGATGGTAGAAAAACTCAATACCATTAACCAAAAAAAGGCCTGACGTCAACTGTGGAACAGACCATCAATTGCTCATATGTAAGTTCAGGATAAAGAAAATTAAAACAAATTCTCAAGAACCAAAATATGACCTTGAACATATCCTCCATAAATTAAGAGGCCATTTTAAGAACCAGTTTGATGTACTAGACACTAATGACCAAAGACCAGAAGAGCTGTGAAATGACATGAAGAACATCATACAAGAGGAAAGTAAAAGATCATTAGAAACACACAAAAGAAAGAAAAGACCACAATGGATGTTAGAAGAAAATATGAAACTTGCTCTCTAGCATAAAGATGCTAAAGCAAAAGGAAGAAATGAGGAAGAGAAAAAGAGAAAAGCAGCAAATGTCAAAAGTCAGCTCAAGAAGACAAAGTCAGATATTATAACAAAATGTGCAAAGACCTGGAATTAGGGGACCAAAAAGAAAAAAACACATTCAGTGTTTCTCAGGCTGAGGGAACTGAAGAAAAATTTCAAGCCTCGACTTGAAACACTGAAGGATTCTATGGGTAAAACAATGAATGATGCAAAAAGCATCAAAAGAAGATATAAGGATTACACGGAGTTACTGTACCAAAAAGAAATGGTTGGTATTCAAACATTTCGAGGTAGCAGATATTCAAGAACTGACGATTTGAAGGAAGAAGTCCAAGCTGCACTAGAAGGCACTGAAAAATAAGGCTCCAGGAATTGACAGAACACAAATTTAAATGTTTCAACAAACTGATGCAACACTGGAGGCATTCACTCATTTATGCCAAGAAATTTGGAAGAATGTGAACCTGGTCAACTGATTGAAGTTTATCCATATTTGTGCCCATTCCATTGAGAGGTGACCCAACAGAATGCAGAAATCACAGAACAACATCATTAGTATCACATGCAAGTAAAATTTTTATGAAAAAATTAAAAAATGGCAGTAACAGAACATTGACAGAGAACTTCTAGAAATTCAAGTCACATTCAGGGATACATAATTTCTGCTGTCACTGGCTGAAAACAGAGAATACCAGAAAGATGTTTTTTACTATCCAAGGGCTTTACTGAGCATCCAAAGGCTTTTTAGTTGGATCATAGTAAGCTACGCATAACATTGCAAAGAATAGGTATCCCAGACACTTCATTGTGCTCAGAAGGAACCTGGACATAGATGAAAAGGCAGTTGTTCGAACATAACTAGGGGACACTGAATGGTTTAAAATCAGGAAACATGTGTGCCAGGAGCCTATCATTTCACCATACTTATTTAATCTGCATGCTGAACAAATAATCTGAGAATCTGGATTCTATGAAGAAGAACGTGGCATCTGGATTGGAGGAAGACTCATTAATAATCTGCAATATGCAGATGATACAACCTTGCTTGCTGGAAGCAAAAAGGACTTAAAATAATGGATTACTGATGAAGATCAAAGACCACAGCCTACAGTATGTTCTGCACCTCAGGGTAAAGAAAACAACAATCCTCACAACTGAACCACTATAAAACAGCATAACAAATGGAGAAAAGATTGAAATTGTCAAATACTTCATTTTTGCGTGGATACACAATCAACACTCATAGAAGCAGAGTCAAGAAATCAAAGGACATATTGCATTAGGCAAATCTGCTGCACAAGGCCTCTTTAAAGTGTTCAAGAGCTAAGATACCAGTTTCAGGACTAAGGTACACCTCACCCAAGCCATTGTATTTTCAATAGCCTCATAAGCATGTGAAAGTTGAATAATGAATTAGAAAGTTGTTGTTGTTAAGTGCTGTGGAGTCGGTTCCAACCCATAGCGACCCTGAATGGGTTTCTGAGGCTGTAAATCTTTATGGGAGCAGAAAGCCTCATCTTTTTCCTGCGGAGCAGCTGGTAGTTTCGAACTGCTGACCTTGCAGTTCACAGCCTGATTCGTAACTACTACAGTACCAGAGGTCCTTGAATGAGGAAGAGTATGGAAGAATTACTGCATTTGAGTTATGGTGTTGGAGAAGAGTATTGGAAGTACCACAGATTGCAAGAAGAATAAACAAATCTGTCTTGAAAGAAGTACAGCCAGAATGCTCCTTAGAAGTCAGAGTTTCTCACACTTCGTCTATAATTTGAACATGCTGCCAGGAGGGGACCAGTCCCTGGAGAGACAATGGTAAAGTGTAGGGTCACAGGAAAGAGGAAGAGGCCCAACAAGAGGATTGGCACAATGGCAGCAGCACTGGGGTCAAGTGTTACAATTGTGATGATGGCCCAGGACCAGACAGTGTTTCATTCTGTTGTGCATTGAACCGATTCAATGGAACCTAACAACAACAAGGAATGAGAACTGTTCACAGAAGCTTTTGAAGCTTTTCTTAACTATGTGCAAGTAATTATTTATGAATTATTATTTGTAAGATGAGTTAAGAACATTTTAAACTTGCCCAATTAAATACTTTTTTCTGCTTAGGTAATAAAATAGTTGTTAGTTGATGACAATGATGTTTTCCCACCTGACCCATACTGAAACTACGTTCAATTTCTACCTGATAATAAAGATAATAAAAATATCTGACTCTGATAATATTATGTATGTGAACTAATGGTCACAAGCAAAAAAGCTCAATACGCTAATAAATATTATTAATATAAAACTTTCAAGGTTTCACAGAAATGTTCAATTCAGTCTTACTGTCTGCTAGAGTTCTCTTTAACAATTCACATGCTACGAATATATATACTTTCCATGCTAAAATATTTGCATACAAAAACTGAATGATTCACCTAATCTATGCACTTACTTAGCGTTTTCAGTGACTAGCGATACTTATCTGGTGAGGTCTATGTGTATAATCACTTTTTATATTGTTGTTAAAAAGGTATTTGTGGACTCAAGTGTGGGGCAGCGGTAGTGAGGTTGGCCGAGGATCGGACATTGTTTCATTCTGCTGTGCATGAGGTCTCTATGAGTCGGTTCCGACTCGATGGCACCTGACAACAACAACAACATGCACTTACTTAGAGTGAGTGAACCAACATTTATGTCAAACTCAAAGTAAATTGACTTAATTTTAATACTCACTGCATTCTGATATAGTTCACACTTTAGTATTGAAACACTAATTGTACTTTAATTAGTTTATTTATTTTTCAGTTTAAGGTTCTTAATTTTGGTTAACAACATACACTGCCAGTGAATAAATGTTTTATTTTTTAACACAGGGGAAACTTGATGGTAGATATGTGGTCATTTGATGTTTCTGTGACAATGAGTTAGAGCTTAGGTTCTCTCTATTACAGAATGTAAATATATAACTACACATGTATATGAACTTCTTATCAAAATGAAACTTAGTCACTAAAAGAAGATTCACTATCTGAACTCTCTTCTGCATTTCTTCCTTCACCATCAGGCACTGGAGCATCTGGTCGCCTAAAAGAGAAGGAAAGTTTTTTTTTTTTTTTTTTTAAGTTTTCCAGTTGAAAAAAGCACTTAGTAACTGTAAATTAAGTTCATCTTAGTAAATGACTCTGCCAAGTCTGCCATCCTTAACCGAGGGGAGTCTCCGGCTCTCCACCACAACGTCGTTGTCATTGGCTTCCTCAGCATCATGGGGATTAAGTGCTATTCCTGTAGAGGCTACAGTTCTGGTGCCCTTGCCAGTCTTGCCTACATAGTGTGCTACATCAGCACTTTCTGCTTCTCTTACCATGGAGACCCAACTATAGACAGAGATGCGATCCATAGAGGCTGGCATGACAAGGGCTAAGTCCCTGCAGCCTCCAAAGGCGGATGAGATTCACAAAAAGGAAAACTAGAAAGGGAAAGGAAAGAAAAACTCTGGTGTTTAAGAAAGAGGCAGGGAGAAATGTAGAGGAGGAGGAGACCTCAAGAATGGCTCTTAAGAGTCACCAGAAATATGGAAACAGTGTGGAGGAAGAAAGCACTGGGTCTCAGCAGGTTTGTAACATCTGCAGAATGTTTCACTCACATTTCTTCTCTTTAGAGAATAAGCATAAATATGAGGACTACACAACTGAGTTGGTAAAAACACTGTCTTCACAGTTACTGGGGTCCAAGGAAGGACATGGGAGAATGAGTACCTCCAACCTGACATGAATTTGCTATTAAAAAAAAAAAAAGTAATTTTAATGTCATTAAAACAATCAACTAGATAGGCCTAATCGTATTTGTGCCAGTAAATCAATTCATCAATACAGCAGCAACACAGCCTCTATTTAGTCTTACCAAAAACAGAAAATCAAGCAAGGAAAATATGCTTTAAGGGAAATTAAGAGGAAAGGAGAAATAATAATAGTTGCAATGTCTAAATAAGTTAAAACTACCAGGTATTGTTTCTCCCTCGCGCCCCTAGATCCTTAGTAAAGATTAAGGACATTCAACAATAAAACTATTTGCTACAAATGCAATGCAATGAACTGAAACGTTGGTTTGAACCACAAGGTTGTTGGTTCAAGCTCACCAGCTGTTCCTTGGAAACCCTATAAAGGGTTGCTATGGATAGGAACCAATTTAATGGCACTTAACAACAACAACAACAAAATTACTAAAATAAAGTATATAGTCTACTATCTACTCCTAGTGTGGCATTGTAGGATATGCACTAGACCACAAGGTCGGTTTTGAACAGCAATGTCGGCAGTTAAAACTCACCAGATGCTCCTTGGATACTCTATACAAGGTTGCTATAAGTCAGAACTGACTCACTGGCATTTATTAGCCTTGTTGTTGTTGTGAAGTGCCGTCGAGTTGGTTTCTATCCATAGTGACCCTGTATAAGGTTTCTGAAAAACAGCTGGTGAGCTTGAGCTGCTGACCTTGCAGTTCAAAGTGCCACTGCAGTCCAGCACACTAACCCACAATGCCACACCAGGACTCCTAGTTATCATAAATTATGGGCTGGCCTGTTTTTGGATCATTCATTTTTAATTGATGTAAGACACATATAACAAAACAACACTATTATTCATTTCCAAATGTTTCCATTACCATTAACAGAATTCACATGCCTCTTAAGTAATGAGAAACTTACATTTTTCTATATCGTATTTGTCCTGTGACAAATATGATGTCATTTGCTTTCTAGCTTTCAAATACAAACCTGTTTTTCTGCTGTATAAGTTTCGATCATGGGTTCAAACATAGCAATGATTCTGAGGACGGTACAGGACTGGGCAGAGTGTTTTGCTCTGTTGTGACTTACCAGCACCTAACAACAACAACACTGTTGCTATTATATTATCACATTATTATCACCATCACGCACCTACATTTTGCTGGTAACTGTGTTAGGTGCTGGGTATACAGATATGAATACTGAGAAGCTGATATTTTAGTGGAGGAAACAGAACAATTAAGCAATTATTGTCACATAGTGTGTGATATGTACCTCTGCTGGTATGATAAGAAAGAAGAATCAACTCTGCTAGGGGAGCTGAGAGAAGTCTCCAAGGTTTCATACACCACCAAGTTAACCATTTCAACGTGTATAATTCAATGATTTTTAATATAGTCACCAAGTTGGGCATCCAGCACCATTATCTACATTTAGAATATTTTCACCTCCCTCAAAAGAAACTGTGTAGCAGTCAGTACCCCGAGCACCTGGCAACCACTAATCTACTATCCGTGTTTATGATTTAGCTATCTGGAAATGTCACATAAATGTGACCTTTGTGCTTGGCTTTTTTTTAACTTAGCATATGTTTTCAGGGTTCATCCATATTACCAGTACTTTTTTATAGCTGAATATTTCAATGTAAATCTATACTCTATTTTGATTTCTGTTTATCTGTTGATAAACATTTTTATAGTTTGTGCTTTTTGGCTATTACAAATAATGCTGCTACATTTGTGTATATGTTTTTGAGGGGATGTATGCTTTCAATTCTCTTTTGTAGATATTAAGGAATGGCCTAGCTGGATCATATAGTAATTCTATGCTTAATTTTTGGAAGACCTGCCTAATACCTAGCTGCACCCTTTTATATTCTCAATAGCAGGGTATAAAGATATCTGTACATCTTTGCCAATACTTGTTATTGTCTATTCTCATTCAATTAAAAATAAATTCTATATTGAATTGGAATACTATGAGAATACAGGAAAAAAATACACATGAGTTCTCTTAGGATATTGAAAAGAGAAAAATTTCAAGACACCTTAAGACTCTAATAAGACAATATACATGAGAGCATCTTATAAGTGAAAAAGTTATGAAACCGGTAAGTTAAGGCTATTAATGGTAACACTAACACTGACAGCCATGCCATCATTTCCAGGTGGGACAGCTACCCTCAGGGTGACAGAAGTATCCAACAAATACTATTTGACAATTAATAGACATTTTCTTCAGTTTCATAGACTCTCTAAACTCCTTTGATAATTATTTTTCTATTAAAATTTCTAGATTCTTTACCCTCTAAAGCTTCTTTAGTTTAAAATTTTGTACTCTTAAATTCTAAATTTTTGTCCAAACAGACCATCCAAATAACAGCATATTTTCTGGTCCGTACTAATTTCCAATACGAATTCTGTTCTTTGCTCAGTGCAGACAGATCTAAACTATTTCTTCTCCCAGTTATATGAATTTCTTACTAGCTACTAATAAAAAGAACATGTACATTTATATTTTAAAAGAAAAGAGAAAACAGAACAGCCTATGCTGGAAGTCCTTGGCGGAGGTTTAATAGGTACTCAGATTATAGGTAAAAGCACACTCTTCCTTTGAATGGCACATTTTCTTTTCCTCCATCACCTCAGACTGTCTCCCAAATTAAGGCTCCGTAAGTCTAAGTAAACATGATATCAAAAGGGCCAGAACTCCTCTATTAGCAAGGTCTCCTTATCATCTCTAGCTGAATGCAGTTGGAGCTGGTTTACTAGTCATGTCAATTGGTTACAATGAGTCACCCTGACTCTAACCACGGCGCCTGGTGATCAATGGCATGAATTTATGAGGTTGCTATTGCTGTTAATGTGCCATGGAGTCGGTTCCGACTCATAGCGGCCCTGTACAGGGTTTCTGAGGCTGTAAATTATTATGGAAGCAGAAAGCCTCAGCTTTCTCCTGCACAGCAGCTGGTAGTGTCGTACTGCTGACCTTGCAGTTCACAGACCGATTCACAACCACTATTCTACCAGAGCTCCTTGAACTTATGAGGTCAGAATTCAGGCTCCAGGCTGTAGTCAAGGAGCAGCTTTTCTGTAAGACATTTTACCCTGAAATTTGATACCACCTTGGTGGTGTCTCAACATTTATAGACAATGGCACACCCTCAAACTTGCTAGGTGAGACACATCCAAGGAGTGTTAGATGTAGTGTGAGTCCTCCCCTTGTAATCACCCATGGACTTCCTAAGGGGGCGACACCTAAGTGGATTTTTGAAGAATAACGAATAAACTAGGTCAAAAAACTTGGGGAACGGAGATCTACTTTGAGAAAAGGAAACATTCAAATACACTGAAAGGGAAAAAGGGAATGAAATATTCATGGAACTTTAAGTGGTCTGCATGAGAGAAAAATGTGGAAGAATAGCAAAAGATGAAGCTAGAGAAAGAAAACTGAGTCTTGATAAAAGCGTTCATATACAATGCTAAGACACTGACTACACACTGACAGCAGTGGAGAGCCAGAAGCCAAAAGGAAGTATGAACAAATCATCTCAGGCCTTAGTGGACAGATTGAAAGAGAACAGGGAAACCGCTTTGGAAGTTAATATAATAATCTACCACAACTTGTCTGTCACTTAGTCTTCTCATGGTGGCTTGTGTGTCACTATTATGCTGGATGCTATACCACAAGTATTTTAAATACCAACAAGGTCACCTTGGTGGATAGGTTTCAGGGGAGTTCCAGACTAAGACAGGCTAGGAAGAAGAAAAGATTGAGTAGCTACTGAAAACCTTATGAAACATTCTCAGATATAGTTTCAGAAGTACTAGAGCATTATCAGATACAGTGCTGGAAGATTAGGCCCTCAGATTGGGAGGCTCTCAAAATACTACTGGGGAAAAGCTGCATCCTCAAAGCAGAGTTGACCATGATGATGCAAATGAAGCAAAGTTTTCAGGACCTTCATTTGCTGATGGGGCACCACTCAAAATGAGGAGAAACAGCTGCAAACATCCATGAATAATCGAACATGAAATATACAAAGTATGAATCTAGGAAAATTCGAAGTTGTCAAAAATGAAATGGCACGCATAAAGATTGACAACCAAGACATGGTTGTTGTTGTTAAGTGCTATTGAGTTGGTTCTGACTCATAGCAACCTTATACAGTGTTTCAGAGAAGCATCTGGTGAGCTTGAACCGCAGACCTTGCAGTTCAAATCAACTTGGCAGTTCAGTGCATTAACCCACAGTGCCACACCAGGACTCCAAGATATTAGTGAGCAGAAATACTGGATAATGCAGAATGCATCAAAAGAAGATGGAAGGCATACACATGGTGATTGTACCAAAAAGAAATGGTTGATGTTCAATCGTTTCAAGAGGCAGCATGTGATCAAGAACCAATGGTACTGTAGAAAGAAGCCCAAGCTGTGCTGAAGGGTACTGGTGAAAAACACAACTGCAGGAATTGATGCAATACAAACTGAACTCTTTCAACAATATGATGCAGCACTGGAGTCACTCATCCATTCATGACAAGAAATTTGGAAGACAGCCACCTGGCCAACCAATTGGAATAGATCCATAATTGTCACCAAAGAAAGGTGACTCAATGAATGTGGAAATCATTGGACAATATCATTAATATCAAATGTAAGTAAAGTTTTGCTGAAGATAATTAAAAAATGGCTGCAATAGTACATCAACAGAATGGCCAGAAATTCAAGTTAGATTCAGAAGAGTAAGTGAAACTAGGGATATCATGGCTGACATCAGATGGATCCTGGCTGAAAGCAGAGAATACCAGAAAGATGTTTACCTGTACTTACTGACTGTGCAAAGGCTTTTGAAGGTGTGGATCATGAAAAGCTATGGATAACATTGTGGATATTGGGTACTCCAAAACACGTAAATGTGCTTACGAGGAACCTGTACATAGATCAAGAGGCAGTCGTTTGACCATAACAAGAGGATACTGAATGGTTTAAAATCAGGAAAGGTGTGCACCAGGGTTGTATTCTTTCACCGTAATCATTTAATCTGTATGCTAAGCAAATTATCTGAGAAGCCGGACTATATGAAGAAGAGCATGACATCAAGATTAGAGGAAGAATCATTAACAACCTGTGAGGACTTCAAATACTTACTGATGAAGATGAAAGACTATAGCTATTAGTATGGATTACACATCAGTGTAAGGAAAATAAAAATCATCACAATTAACATGATAAATGGAGAAATGATGGAAGATGTCAAAGACTTCATTTTGCTTGAATCAATAAGTATCTCATGGAAGCAGCAGTCAAGAAATCAAAGGATATATTGCATTATGCAAATCGGCTGCACAGACTTCTTTAAAGTGTTCAAGAGCAAAGATAACAGTTTGAGGACTAAGGTGCATCTAACCCAAGCCACAGTATTTTCAATGGCCTCATATGCATGTGAAAGCTGGACAATGAATAAGGAAGACTATAGAATAATTGAGACATTTGAGTTAATGGTGTTAGAAAAGAATATTGAAAGTATCATGGACTGCCAGAAGAATAAACAAATCTGTCTTGGAAGAAGTATAGCAAAAAAATTCCTTAGAAGCAAGGATGGTGAGATTTCATATCTCATACTTTGGACATACTATTAGGAGGGACCAGTTCCTGCAGATGGACATTATGCTTGGTAATGTGTAGGGTCAGTGAAGAAAAGGAAGACCAGCAATGAGACAGATTGGCAAAATGGCAGCAGCAATGGTTTCAAGCTTAACCATGATTGTGAGGATGGCGCAGCACTGGGCTGTTTTGTTCATTGTGCACAGGGTCAATATGAGTTGGAACTGACTCAGGACACCTAACTAAAACAACTACATAATAATCCAGGTGAGAAATTTTAAGAGCCTCAACTAGGCAGCAATGAATATGGAGGCATTTTGTCAAATTTGAATGGTATTAAAATGAGAAAGCTGACAGTGACTAAAATAGTGCCTGTGGGGATGAGGGCAGAAACTAGAATGGCTTCTAAATTGCTAGTGCTGGCAGCTAGTTGTAGTAAAGGATTATGAAGTAGGTTTAGGCTGGCAGGCGATAAAATGAAGGCAGTAGGTGGTCAAGGAACTGGGTAACGTAAGAGATACTTATAAAACTGTTATCAATTTATTCTAAGGAAAAATCATTATTTTATAGGTCATTATAACCACAACAACAAACCAAACCCACTGACTCAAAGCAACCCGACAAGAGAGAGTAGAATTATTCCAAAGTAATGTCTTTAGGGAAGCCAACTGCCACACCTTTCTCCCACAATGGTCATTACAGCCCTCTGTTTGCATAGCAGGTGCACTGGGTATTTCCAGATGCTAAAAAGAGGACAGTAAGGACCATCATGGATTGAACCCATACATGTTCAATTCACACTAAAATAGATGTTATAATCCATCTGCTTGTACAAGTACATCAGAAAACAATTCCAGAACAAACGGCAAATATCCTGGTCATGCTTTATTTCAAATTATAAAACTATGACATCACACTTGAGCTGTTTGATACTTGGATAAATACCAAATGTAGATAGATGTTGGAAATCTGTTTTTGCAGAGTTTAAATTTTTTTTTAATTTCATACTTTGCAAGATAAAAAGACAATTTAATGGTACTTCACTTCAAAATGTATACTTTTTCTTGAGAGGTTAAGTACCAAGAAAAATTCCAAAGTATACCGCTTGTAGAGCATGAATGGCTGGGCAACACAGCAATTACACTAGGGTGAACTACGCTAAATACACTGTTGTTATTCTCAAGAGCCATGGAGTCGGTTCCAGCTTATAGTGACCCTGTACAGGATTTCCAAGGAGTGGCCAGTGGGTTTGAACTGCCGGCCTCGTGATTCAAACCAACTTTGTGGTCCAGTGCTTATCCTACAAGCATCACACTGAGGAGAACTAAAATTCAAACTGGAAAACTCTTAATAAGTGTCTAGATATTTCCAAAACAGAATTAATTCTGAAGAATTCTTAAAATATATTTTACCCAGGATGAACTATTAAAATATTTGTAGCAAGGTTTGCTTTGATGGAATGGATTACTGTCAAGTTTTTGAGCCACAATATTTCAGCATTTCTCAAGAACTATTTTATAAAACTCACACACTAGCTAGTCTTATAATAACTATTAGTGTGTACCTAGAGCGGCATAACTCTGTTGACTTCTTAATCTGGCTCTGCTAAGATCATGACTGAATCAATTTCCAACACACTAAGGTCTTAAATGAAAAGTTAGTAGGCAACAGAAGTACTAAATACTAAGAAGCGACTCTACCTTTCATAAACACTGCAACCATGCAACAAAACTGTCATCTAATTCCATCTCGTTTGAACATCTATAGTCATCAATTATCTCCTAAAATGTGCTTTGGCTGGATTTAGAAGCACAGCTTCTTTTTTTAGACATAGTAGCAACACTATTATGAAGATGGTTTACTCAACCATAAAAGATCACAGAGATATACATATGTGTATGTGTTTATAGAACTTTAAATATTTTCTTTGTAACTTATAAATTCAACATCTTGACAGTAATTTAATTATATTAGGAAAATTACTTACTCAAGAAGATCTGGGTCTAGTCCTTCAGATATCATTTTGTTTCTTATTGCCAACACTGGAACACCCTAAGCAAAGGACACAAGAAAATAATTCAATTGTTAAAAATGCCTACTTTATATATTTCCGTATACAACTCCCAAAACAAGACCTCTAGATGCCTCATTATTTGAAACAGTGCTTATTTTGTCTGTATATGTGTGTACAGCGCTTGAGTAATCTAATAAGGTACACATTTTACATTGAATTAAAGGAATTAGTGATATATCCAATACCACATAACTAAAAATTAAATCTTCTGACACCAAAACAAAGAAATCATTGGTAACTCAAAGGACTAAAGTTCTAGCTAGAGTGGTACCCATGAGCACATAACAATATGAATAAACTATTTTAAAAGAAAGATCACAGAGCTTTCTACTCTTAAGTATAGCTCTTTTAAAGAGCTAATGGTCCAATTCTATTTGGACATATTAGGCACAAAAGGTAAAACAGAATTTAAGAACCCTCTTTGTACTATATTACACGTCTTCTCTACACCAATATAAACACTTAGTAATAATAATTCTAGAAGTGTGTAAGTTGCAAAAACACTGAGAACATGTGGATTTCAAAGTTGAGGTTAAGAACATCAAAGCAGCAAGAAAGGTTATATCAGAAATAAATACTTTTCTTGAAAGGAGAACTGATTTCATGAATCAACAAACATTTCTTGAAAGCTAACTTGTAGTGCTCTAGAGGGAGAAAATGCAATCAAGTCTCTGTCTGCTTGTCTACTTCTATCAAGTCTCTTTGTCAACATGTCTACTTCTCACCATCTCCACACAGAGTAAATACAAATTTAAAGGCACTGATTATATCACCTTCAAATGTAAGTGTGGACCACTGTACTTCCCATCGTTCATCCTTTGGGACAGAAGGAGTAAGCTAAGCCAAAGTTCATGTGGGGAGAATGATCAGTCATCTTCCTTATTTATTTGTACACTTTTCCCTTCAGTCCTCCCATGCCACTAACCAGCTGGGACAATCAGTATCGAATTTGAGGACAGAGAAGAGCTTCTTAGAAATTCTGATGTTCCAGTACAGTTTCTCAGAGTCCTACCCTGAAAGTATTCTGGATACTAACTCTGCTATGTTTACTCTGCTTTCATTCACAATTGTTCCTTGTGTTTCCTGGTTTTCGGAATATTACATGGTGGTGGTAGTTGTTAGTTGTTTCTGACCCAAAGTGACTATGTGCACACAACAGAATGAAGTACCCGGTCCTGTGCCATCCTCACAGTTACTGTCATTTTTTAGCCCATTATGGCATCCACTGTGCCAATCTACCTCATTGAGGACCTTCTTTTTTGCTGACTCTCTACTTATCAAGCATGATGCTCTTTTCTAGGAACAGGTCCCGTCTGATAACAGGTCCAAAGCACATGAGACAAAGTCTTTCCATGCTTGATTCTTTACTGATCTTTGTTATTTATTGCCCAGCTATAACAAGTATATGAAACAATTAAAAATACCATGGCTTGGGTCAGGTGCACCAAGTCCTCAGAGTGACTTTTTTTTTTTTTTTTAACACTTTAAAGAGGATCTTTTGCAGCATATGTGTCCAATGGAATGTGTCGTTAGACTTCTCCACTACTGCTTTCATAGGCATTGACTATGGATCCAAGTAAACTGACGAGTTCAACCTTTTCTCCATTTACAATGATGGTGCTTATAGCCTATAGGGTTGTTTGTTGTTAAGTGCTGTCGAGTCAATTCTGACCCATAACGACCCTGTGTAGGGTTTCCAAGGAGCAGCTAGTGAGCTTGAACCACTGACCTTGCAGTTCAAATGACTTTGCAGTCTGACGCATTAGCCCACAGCGCCAGTACATTTATTGTGGTTAGCAGTAAAATCTGACTTCAAAACATCAAAGCTCAATCTTCAACATCACTATGGCAGCACAATACTTTATGGAGAGAAAATAAAACACGATTGGCCCCTGCCCTAAGGGAATGCAGTTTAACAGATGTGTAAACAGATGATGTGACGTCAGCAATAATATTCCTTCTTCCACCTCCTCGTCTGAATCTGACTTGAACTTCTGGCAGTTCCCTGTCAATATACTGTTGAAGCATGGTGTGGTGCTGTCGGTCACTGAGCTAGACTGCAAGGTAAATCTGAACTACAAGGTCAATGGTTCAAGCTCACCAGCTACTCCTTGGAAACCCTATGCAGGATTGCTATGGGTTGGAACCAACTCAAAGGCACTTAACGACAACATACTGTTGAAGCAGATCTTGAATTACCTTGAGCAAAAGTTTACTTGTATGTGATATTAATGATATTGTCTGATGATTTCCACCTTTCGTTAGGTCACCTCTCTTTGGAATGGACACAAATCAGTTGGCCAAGTAGCTGTCTCCCAAATTCCTTGGCAGACTGTTGAAAGATTTCAATCTGTATTCCATCAATTTGGATTCCTGGAGCCTTGTTCTTTGCCAATGCCGTCAGTGCACACCTTGCATTTTTTTCTTCAGCACCATTGGCTCTTGATCATATGCTACCTCTTGAAATGGCTGAACATTAACCATTTCTTTTTGGTACAGTAACTCTGTGTATTCCTTTCGTCTTCTTTTGTTGTGGAATCAGGGTTGGAAGAAGACTCATTAACAACCTATGAAATGCAGATGATACAACATTTCTTGCTGGAAGTGAAAAGGACTTAAAATGCTTACTGATGAAGATCAAAGACCATAGTCTTCCGTATGGGTTGGACCTCAATGTAAAGAAAACAAAAATCCTCACAACTGGACCAATAAAGAACATCATGATAAATGAGAAAGGAATGAGTGGCCAAAGACTTCATTTTGCTTGGATCCACTATCATCACTCATGGAAATTGTTGTTGTTGTTAAGTGCTGTCAAGTCGATTCCAACCCATAGTGACCCTGTATAGAGTTTCCAAGGAGCAGCTGGTGAGCTTGAACTGCTGACCTTGCAGTTCAAATCAAAGGATGTATTGCATTAGGCAAATCTGCTGCCTAAGACTTCTTTAAAGTGTTTAAAAGCAAAGATGTCAGCTTGAGGACTAAAGTGTGTCTGACCCAAGCATGATATTTTCCATAGCCTCATATGCACCTGAAAGTTGGACAATGAGTAAGGAAGACCGTAGAATTGATGCTTTTTAGTTAAGGTGTTGTTATTGTTGTTGTTAAATGCCGTCGAGTCGATTCCGACCCATAGCGACCCTGTATAGGGTTTCCGAGGAGCAGCTGGTGAGATTGAACCACCCACCTTGCAGTTCAAACAGCTTTTCAGTCTGGCGCGTTAACTCACAGTGCCACACGAGGACTCAGTTATGGTGCTGTTGTTGTTGTTGTTGTTAAGTGCCATAGAGTCGGTTCCGACCCATAGCGACCCTGAACAGGGTTTCCGAGGCTGTAAATCTTTACGGGCGCAAAAAGCCTCATCTTTCTCCCGCGGAGCAGCTGGTAGTTTCGAACTGCTGACCTTGCGGTTCACAGCTCGACTCATAACCACTATGCTACCAGAGCTCCTTTACGGTGTAGGTGGAGAATATTAACAATACCACGAGTGCTGGAAGAATAAACAAATCTGTATCAGAAGAAGTACACAACAGGAGTGCGCCTTAGAAGCCAAGAGGGCTAGACTTTGTCTCTCCTAATTTGAACACAGCAGGATGGACTAATCCCTAGAGAAGGACCCCATGCTTGGTAAACTGGAGAGTCAGCTAAGAGGAAGAGGATCCCCAACAAGATGGACTGCCACAGAGGCAGCAGCAATGGGCTACAGCAGGGCAATGACCGTGAGGCTGGAACAGGACCGGGCAGTGTTTGGTTCTGTTGTGCAGAGGGTCACTATGAGTTTGAACCAACTCGATGGCACCTAACAACAACAACAACAAACAGATGATAACAATACAATCATTAAACGAATAATGGGGGCTGGAATTCTGGTGTGGCGTTGTGGATTAATGCGCTGGACTGCAAGGTTGGTTTGAACCGCAAGCTCAGTGGTTCAGCTCACCAGCTGCTCCACGGAAACCTATACAGGGTGGCTATGGGTTGGAACCGACTTGACAGCACTTAACAACAACTACAAATACAAAGGGCTAGAGTCCAGGTAAGGTGCTGTGGGATAATGCACTGGACCAAGAGGTTGGTTTTAACTACAAGGTCAGTGGTTCAAATCCACCTGCCGCTCCTAGGAAGCCCTATACAGGTTCACTATGAGTTGAAACTGACTCAATGGCACTATACAAAGGGCTGGGAGCATAGTGGCTCCATATGATAAGCACTGGACTGCGAACCACAAAGTCTGTGGTTCAATCCTGTCAGGAGCTCTAAAGGAGATAGATGAGGCTTTCTGCTCCTGAAAAGATTTAAAGCCTCGGAAACACTATGTTGTTGTTGTTGTTATGTGCCGTGGAGTCGGTTCTGACTCATAAAGACCCTGTACAGGGTTTCCGAGGTTGCAAATCTTTATGGGAGCAGAAAGCCTCATCTTTCTCCTGCAGAACAGCTGGTAGTTTCGAACTGCTGGCCTTGCAGTTCGCAGCCCCATTCGTAACCACTACACTACCAGAGCTCCTTTCAGAAACACTATAAAGGGTTGCTATTAGCTGAAAGCAACTCGACAACATTTAACAACAGTACACAAAGCACAATGTTAGGCTACAGCAAAGGCAAATTGGGTTTGAGAGCCAAGGAAGAACTGAGCTGAATCTTGAAGATAAGTTTGTATTAAATGAAAAATGCAAAGACTTAAAAATATACACAAGTCTTTAGTTCATCATACATAAGCTTGTCTCACATACATTTCTTTTAAGATCAAGGATATTTCCCCTCCTCAAATAGCTGATTTTATTTGACTAATATTTTATCCCTCAAAAACTGGCATTTAAGTCCCAACAAACATATGTACAAATATGATAGTCAAATGGATTACAAACACAATATAAAAAATATTCAAAGTTAATGACCATATATTACTCAATGAAATGTTACAGATCATGTACAGTGAAGTTAAGATCATTATTAACCATAAGTTTTATCTACTAAGAAA